CACACACACACACACACACACACATAAAGCAAGGGCATCAAGGGCAAAGCGTAGGCGGCTATGTGTGGTGTGTGTGTGTGTGTGGTATTCTGGATTGGACTTGACTTGGATGCATCGGGCCAAGGAGCAACTTTGTCGGAATGTTTGTACTCTGCTCTTTAACTTTGCGCCTCTCTGTCTTTCCATCTCTGCCTTCTCTGCGATAAAGAAAACTTTGCATCCATCTCTGTCCTCTCGCATCTGTCCTTCAAATCCAGCATTCCACCCCCTTTCTCGCCGTTTGCCCCCCTATCCTCTGGAGCCTCATGGTCTGATTGTTTTACAGGAAGCTCAGTCACGGGGTGTTTGAGCATATGTGTGGTTGTGTGTTGGTGTGCGAGTGTGTTGTGTGATATATCCAGCTGACTCAGCCTGATCTCCAGCCCTGTACTGAGACCCTGGTAGACCAAACAACAAATGACACGCTGACATGCTCCTATCTGTCAAGAGTGTTATGGTTGTTTGAGTTGTACAGTATGTGGCACATGAAACTATGAATCCCATAAGCTGAGATGTTGATCTCACTTCCCTTTTCATCCTGTGGCTGATTTTAGCTAATTCCCTCTAGTGTGTGCGCGCACACGTGTGTGTGTGTACTGTAAGCTGTGCAATCTCCCTTTGTTGCAGTGCAATAAGATGTTTGGTTTTGGTTTGCATTTGCAGATGTCAACTTGCATGTGTACAGATGTGTTAGCTCTTTACTTTAGTGTGTACGTTTTTTTTTTTACTTTTTTCACTTTTCTTAATTATTATAATGACTATTATTGTGAAAAAATGTAAAAAGGAAGTATAGTTTCCATACTGATTAAGTCCAGTGTACACATTTGATTGCGTTATGTGGACATTTTCCTAGATGGAGTTGGTGGTGCTGTTACATTTTTTTAAAGATCATTTTTCAGTGCTGTGAGCAACAAAAACAAAATTCTAGTCACCAACATTGCATGGATGTGGAAAACTAACTCAATATTCAATGCAATATTCTGACAGTAAATTTATATTCCTAACATGGTTCTTTGAAACACAGCACCTGCCTAAGCAATGCTGCAGATCTGTGTTTATTAGATGAACTAACCAATGGTAGTGGTCGCCTCAGCAGACAACATCCTCCCCCCAAAAATTGGCTCAGAAACACAAACAAGGATTCAAGTTGTTGACCCAGCCTCTAAACTCCCCAATTCCCAATCGGATCGAGCATGAGTAGGATGCAACTGATCTATCTAAAACAGGAGTGTCAAACATAAGGGCCTGGAGCCAAAATCATCCCCAGCAAAGACATCCAGTGTGGCCTGGTGGACAACTTTGGAAAAGCATAAATTTTTGGACTCTATTTTTAGAATTTGTACAGCTTTTTGTACTGATAAAGACCTATCCAAAGCCATTCATACTACATACCAAAGGAGCTAAGTAATAGATAAAAAATTAAATGAGAGCAACGTTCCTGTTTTTCATTGTCTACAATAGAAATTTGGCTTAAAAAAAAAAAAATAAAGTCATCAATAAACAAAAACTTTTTTATAAATATGTGAAACTCTGGGCAGTGAGCTACCGGAACTTTCTCTGCAATTTCACACATGCAAATTGTAAAACTACACATTTAATTACAATACATGTGTAAAAAAAAACACACTTGTAATAACAAATTTTAATTTACTTGTGTAGAAAAACTGAGATGTGCTGCTGAAATTGCACTTTCTCATTTTATATTAAGATATCTCAAGGATTAAATGAGTATATAAATATCTTTACACTGACAGAAAGTGGAGTTTTGCTCATCTAGCCCACTTAAAATCAAAATGGATTACATGTGGCACAAAATGTAAAAATAAATCTGACATCCCAGATCTGTTCTGAAGGCAGCCCCTCCCTTTCCTTAAGTGATCCAGTGTTCACTCCCTGACAAGCCAGAGCTGTTTTGCCATGACAAAAGAAGCCCACATAATATTGGACAAGTGGTTTTAATGTTGGGCCTGATCAGCATCTCCACACCAAACCCAGCTGGAAGATCCCTGTGATCCTGCACCATGCTGTGAGTGACTAAGCCAAAGTTTTATGGGGAGGGTAAATTTAAAAGAGCCTGACAAGTACAGTCAATCAATTTATGTCTCACTTTGTTTCTGTCATCACCTTCACAAACATCACTTTGTGTGTGTGTGTGTGTGTGTGTGTGTGTGTGTGTGTGTGTGTATAATGAAATATTCTGTCATTTTTAACAGCTCAGACATTCATCTTATGCGTCAAAAGACCTGCCATTAAAGAAGAACCGCATGTGTGTGTGTGCCTTAATGTCTTTGCACATGTGCTGATGTTCATGTGTGTCTGAGCGATAAGGCTAAGCTGCGGTATCTAAATCTCAGCGCTCAAAGGTTTCCTTCATCTCAAGCAGGGCTCTACAGGTATGTGACTCCACCCTCCCCCATCTCTCTCACCCCTCTCTCAACCATCCCCCCCACGGCTAAGCCTTCACCAACAAGGCCGGTATTGTAGCAAGGGTAAAATGATAGTGCTCAGGGACAGATTCAGCTATGTGCTTACCCAGACAACCCTTACCCCCTTTCTCCACCTCCCTGCCCACACCCCCCTATCCCTTCAACTCAGTGAGGCTGCATTCATCCATTCATTTCTTTCTGTGTGACAAAAAAAGGACAGTGATAGAAAGAGAGGAGCAAAGGTTGTTTTATTTGATTTAATTGAATGCAGAGGGGCACTGAGGTTAAAGAGGACAAAGTAAGTCACACAGAGCAAGACAGAAATGTCACAGAGAACACAAATTATTCACATATAAAAGATGATCTTGTTGCATGGTGACATGTCTATTATTTGGAAAATAAAGAGACTGTAGTGACATTTTCTGTTGAGCAGATATTTAAACTTTAAAACGCTCACATTGAGACTGTCTCCTTTCTTTTGATTTGGTGTCTCGGATCTTGCGATAAGCAGATACACTGAAATATGATATTTTGATTTAACTCTTTTATACTTGTCTGTATGTCTGTGATGCAGGTTTGTGTCAGGACTCATTCATGTCAACATCCGTGTTTAATGTTACTTATTGAGTGTCATTTTTTTTCTATTTGAAACTATTTGAACTATATCGACGTATACATTTAAGACAGAAAAATATTCATTGACAGTGGGTACTAGTCTCTCTCATGCCCTTGTGTTTGTGCAAGTCCTACCTTGTGTGTGTGTGTCTGGTTCACTGTTTCGCGGACTGCTGCGGAGCCGTCTCTCTGGCTTCTTCCCTCCTGGACTGCCAACTCCACCACCAGACCCCGCTGACCCGAGCGTTGGGCCGTGTGATTTGTTGCTGCATCCCGAAGAAAATCACAACAGAATTCATTGTATTTACATAAAAGACATAAAACAAGAAGTATATAAATCATATACCCTTTGCTCAGTTGCAACCAAAAGCTGCAGTGACCAAATGAGCTGTTCACCTTTTTCTTCAATAAAAATACTAACTAAATAAGGTGTGGAAAATAGATCAAAAGAAAGAAAAAAATTCCTAGCAAAAGATTCCTTCACATGAGCTGTTTTCACACATGGGCAAAATCGACAGAACAACATTTAGTAAGGTTGTGTTTGTGTTTATGGATTTTCACACTAATATTGGGTGTACTTTTTGCAGCTGAGGTTAACACATGATGCCTATGTAATCCCTGTGAATGCTTCAAATAACTGTGTGCTCTAACTTTGTATTAGGAAAGGTGTGGGTAGAGTTCACTTATTTGGACATTTGCAGCTGCAGCATGTAATTACTAGCACTCAGGCATACATGTGAAAACAGGTCCATTCTTATTCCAAATGAACAGCTAACACATTAAAATTTTACACAGCTTAGTTAACTGATTTTTATATAACCTCCATATAATGACATAAAAAATGAAATGAATATATAAATCATCAACATCGTGCCTTCAGAAGTCTAACCATTAATGAGTTGGCTAATCTTAAAGTGCATCTCATAAATGATGATCACCTGTATCCATTGTGTGCTGGCCCAAGGCTGCCCTTATAGGGAGTAGAGGGAGGAGAATTGACTCGATTCTGTCTCGGTTCCTTTAACTTTTTAGGTTGTGGCTTACTGTATGTATCCTCCCTCCCTATGAAGTTTGACATCCCATAAACTGGGATGATTTCTGCAAGGAAGAAGAGCATAGAAAATATTTCATGTTAGATTTCGTACCGTGCAGGTTGCGTGACGCATATTCGTAACTGAATTTTAACTCAATGTCAAAATCTGATTTGGTTTTGTTTTTTTGCTTTCTTTTTTGTTTTTGCAGATGGCCTGTGTTCAGTCAGCACGAGTACCTGGATCGCCGTACATGGGGGGAAGGTGGTGTTGGTAGTACTGATGGGGAGGCAGCTCCCCGGGGCTGACGGGAGGATAGAAAGAGTGAGAGTTGGGGATGAAGTGAGGGTGAGGCAGGTATGGCGGCAGGTGATGTGTGGGGGAGAGAGCTGGAGAGTAGGAGGGAGGGTAGCACTCCGGAGACTGGGGGGTCACAACCACTCGGCGGACCCCTGTGGTATCTTCCAGCACCTGTGGGAGAGAGGAGAAAAGCTAAGTATGGGTTCACAGAACATGAAAATAACATTTTTAAAAAGCCTAAAAGACTAAGAAATGTGCACCTGTGCGCCTGAATTTTAGTACCTACAAATCACGCAAGACTTGAAAAGTGCACACTGCCTTTGACTGCTTTATATACTGTTGAGTAAAGGTTCCTCAGATAGTGCTGGCTTTAATTTAAGTCAAGTGATTCAGAGAACTGAGTGAATTGCCCATCATGCCAAGAGTACTTCACTGCCCATTATTTTACAAGAGCAGGTGCTCTGTCTGTTAAATGGTGGATATTTAATAAAAGAATTAACTGCATGATCTATCTGACAGCTGAGCGTGTACCAACAGGATGTGCGGTCCCTTAAAGCAATGAAAAACAAATGTGTCCTTAGATGGCCTGCACATTTTTCTGGCAACAAGCTTCAGAGAACTGCCTGAAATTAGCATAGATCCCATACTTGTATTCATTTTCACTCGGACACAGATACAGACACACACATTCCAACTATTCAGATACTTTCACAGGCCTGCATTCCGAGAAGAGCGCAAACACACACTCCCTGCAGAGAGGGGGAAGTCATCTGCTGGTGCCTAACAACAACAACACCGCACACTGTCTCTCTCACACACACATACACTAAATAACACCACCGTGAAATCCCCACACAAACTGAGAAGCAACAGACACCACACAAAGAAAGATGGTGGGGAATGAAAGAGGGTCAGGAGGGGAGGAAGAGAGTTACAAAACTAATCTGATGTGAGAAAAACCTTGAGAGGGAGCAAATAGATGCAGAGGAGGAGGCCCGCTCTCTGCCCTTTCATCCCCTCTGCTGCACATGAAAAAACGATGTGTTTACAGAAAAACAAGGGCAAAGTCTCTGCAGGAGTATGTGCAGACCAGGCCTACAAGCGCACACATTTATTGGCAAGGACACGCACATTCCAAATATGAAGCACCCACAAACACACATGGCATCACATTGCAGGCATTAGTGAAAACTCCCAGAGGACACACATACACATGAGCACTTTAGACACATAAGACACAACTACTTCAACACACTACTGTCCACCACAGCAGTGCTCTTTCTCCTTTCACCCCTTCGTGCAACCCTAATCCCCCCCTTCCAAAAAAAATTTTGCCCAATGAATGCCTGTCTCCCGTATCATGCTTGTTTATCTAACAGTGACAGTGTTTCCCGCTCAGGCTTGGCTCAGTCCCTACTCACACACACACACACACACACACACAAACACACACCCATGGTGAGCCAATGACCCGACCTCCGTTGGGTAAGAGCACAATCTCGCCAACAGACAAACCACAGGATTTTTTTGAAATCTTGTGAGGATAGTTTATTGACTTCTTTTTCTCATTGTCCTGGTGTTGTTATCTAATAGAGAAAGCGCATACACATTTCCTGTAGAGGACTCAAATATTAATTGAACCTAATACTCCAAATTCTTGGTGGTCTGTTGGGTCAAGAAGACCAGCGTGGTTGCTTCTCTATGACAGACAGAATAAGTGACTTTTGTGGGAGTCAAGCACAGGCTAAAAAAAAAAAAAAAACTATCATCTGCATCCTTTAATAATGACTACTAGACCCACTTCTGATAGCTGTTCAATAAAACATTATACAAGTACAAATTGCTTAGTCTATCAACCAGCCAGTGCATAGAAATATGCTATGCTGCTATATTCTCCAGTTTTGGACACTAACGCAACTACTTTTTACTGTTAACGCATGAGTTTGATTTATGGATTTATTTCCATTTACAGCATCATAACAATTTTCCAGTGACAAGAACCAACATGCTGAAACAGTCTTCAGACAGACTAATTGAGTGAACTGAAAAAATAAATGAACACTGGGTAAATTTACCTTGAAATATATTTAATTAAGAAATATCTGCATTTTTATTACTTAAAGAAGCCTCTTTTTGGTGGAGAAATGAGAAGCACTAGCTAATTTAGTGTAGTCGTGCATGCACAAATCTCCCCCTGAGTCCGTTTTTTTTTCTTTACTCAAACGCTCCCACACAACCCAAACACGATAAACATAAAAAATAAGTCAAAGAGTATCAAACTGAGGAAAAATACACACAAAAATAAACTAACCTGTGAGATGTAGCCTGGGGGGACGTGGATGGGAGGGATCGACCCATTTGGGGACATCATGGGAACCTCAGCAGGACCTGTGAGGAAGGAGAAGAATTATTTACTCAACCAGGCAACTAATGCTTAGATAAATTCTCATTTACATTCATCAGTTGGCAGTTCACATGCGGGGACATAAAGTAGACAGATACGCTGAAGGTTGGGCTGTGTTATTTTATATAGTTACTTAGTCCCACAGTATGAAGATACTAGGAAATAAAGGTAATTAACCACTTAAAAATAAGTGGTTAATTACTCTTCCCTTCAAATCTGCTTGTATAATCTCAAACAGCTCACACATAAATATAAGCAAGCCTTTTCCTTGTTACTGGCTATTCAGCAGTACTATTATGATAATTATAGGTATAAAAAATAAGGGTACATGGCTGCTTACTGAGAAATGAGGTTTCTACACTGAAGGAGAAGTATGCGAATCTAAATAGAATTAGCAGACTGAAAATGATGTTGACTTTTCCACTGTCTAAATACCCCCCTCCAAAAAAAATCTCCCGTCTCCCTCTTCCTCTGTCTTTCGGTGATGGAGGTCTGCGCCTGCTAAAGTCATTGGGACCCCGTCGGGACAGCTGGAAGCAGACCTAGCCTCAGAATAAATCACACTGCACAGAGGCCTTCACTACCTCCAAGCACACATGCTACTATGAAGACACATTAACATTTTTTTCCCAAGTTGACAACACTTACATACTTGTTGACTATTCTAAAATCTAGTCTCCGTTAAAGGGCTATTTTTCATCTTTTCAGCTGCTTTACCCTCTAACTCCATACTTCACAGACTGTTTTCAGGGATTTCTCCTCTTTCCCCAGCTTCTGTTATTACTCACATCCTTTCTTCCCTCCAATATTACTCATCTGATCCTTGCCTTCCTTACTAAGTTTATCCTTTCCATACTTCATCAATGATCTTTATCATCTTTTCTCCATCCTTCACATCAGCCCTCCATTACTCACCCACTTTACTGACCTCTCATCAGCCAAGCAAACAGGTAACAGTACAGTAAACACACACCCACCTACACACAGAAAAACAACCTGAGCAAAGTCTGCAATGTGGATTAATGTGTATGTGTGTCTGTTTGTGTGTGCGGTGAGTAGGTCACAGGTATGAAGAGACAGGCCTCTTTCAGTCTAGTCTGCTCCCCTACCATGGAGACTAGAACTGCATATGAAAGTCTCCATTGAATAGAAGGTCATAGCATGGGGAAACACACACAGAGCTGCTCTACACCTCTTTCCACCACTGCTCATAGCACACTTTCCCCTCTTACTCACACACTGCCCCAATCTCACACACACACACTCTCTCAGGCATCGTCACTCAGACACGCACACACACACTTGGCAAACAGACGTGTGTTTGGACAGTCTCTGCTGCCTCTGTGCTCTTCACTCAGCAAACAGCAACATTCTTCCAGTCACACACACACTGAACATTCCCATCCCTGGCCCCCAGGACTGGACCCAACAAGCCTAACTACCCCCCAAACCATTGCCAAAATACAAGACACTCTTTGTCCTGCTATTCAACACACACACACACACACACACACACACACACACACACACACACACACACACACACACACAAAAATCATTTCTAGAAAGATTTCTAGAATGCTTTTCCTTTATCTTAAAAGTACATCACAGTCACAGACACACAACCAAAAGCCCGAGATAATCACACGTTTGTATGTGTCCATCAAAAAGCTTTCAATCGTGTTTGTTTGTGCGCAAATGTACAAATAAGTCACTGTGGTCCTTGATTCACACTGTGGTAACGTCACTCTCTGGTCTCACCCCCAGCTCTACCCTTTAAGCACCACGAATAGAGTCACAACTTCCTCTGCCTAATCCTACTGGAATCCTAGACAACACAGCTAACCAACCCCGCTCCCCTTTGCTTTTCCGCTTCTCATCTTCCATCTGTTGCTTCTTCCGCCTCTGAGTTAAAGAGAGGTCAGGGCAGAGATGAGATATCAAGTCATATCCTAGATAGCATGCATATGACTCTGCCTGCACCACAGCAAGGAATCAGCACATGTAATGAACCACAACAAGAGACAATCAAAGCTGCAAAGACTAGTTTAATTCCTCTGAGGAAATATTGCTCTGTTGGGCAAAGCTTAACATTTTTGATGTATACAAGGCAATCAGGAATGTGATATGTAACATTTCTGGCTCATTGACATAAATGTTACTATGCCCAACCTAGTCAGACTGCAGTTGCCACTTTGTGACAATGGTCGTCATTCTGACATGAAGCCAACAAGTTCAGAAGCCATCACATAATGGAAAGCAGTGTCTGAGGGTAGGTTTATATCTTACTTATGTTTGCTGATAAAGAACACTGCACACAAGTTGCTTCCACAGCAGGAACTAAGCAGTCCTGACTGGAAGGGTTAATGAAATAAATCTGAGGTCTGTGGTCTAATGTGGGGGTTCATCTGGTGGTCAATGACATATTCTAGTTTGACAGACTCTGCTTCAAGAAATCAAAGAGGACCACAGGAATTAATACAAAGTATGTTTTGTATTGCACAGAACAGAGATAGAAATAGCACAACCATGACACACTCGGGGCAATACAGAGGTATGGTTAGAAAAAAAAACAAAAACACAATGTCATCATGAGCAACAAGTGTAGTGAAGTGAAACACAAAATAATTACATTTAATGACACAGAAAAAAAAGCAATGAAAATAAAAAATTCATAGCGAAAAAAACTCAAGCTTACTGAAAAAGCAGAACATACTCAGATCACTAAATTAATTCTGTCTAAAACACATTTAGAGACTTTATTTTTAAAGTGCCACCTTCAAAAGTCTAGTATTCGTCACTGAAGAATTACACATGAACATATATACACATGCCCATAATAAGCATCCTGTCTCATCCACACACACACAACAAACAGTCTCATTCACAAAGACACATGTAGACAAACAAACACACACACACACACACAAACTTGTGTTTTTGTGCAGCTCCTCATACATACATTCATATACATACACAGACTGAGGCTACGTCCACACGTACCCGGGTATTTTTGAAAACGCAGATTTTTCTATGCGTTTGCACCTTTCGTCCACACGTAAACGGCGTTTTTGGTCACTGAAAACGGAGATTTTTAAAAACTCCGGCCAGGGTGGATATTTTCTAAAACTCCGTTTTTGCATTTAGGTGTGCGCATTTTTTGACGTCACAGTGTGCGCCACGTTATTGTTTCGGTGAAATGAATTTCTACAATACTGTTACTGTTAATTGTACTCTCTGCAGTGTTTAAATGCTTACATATACACACACAGTTACTGTCCCTCCACACATACGACTCGGTTCTGCTTCTATGCCCCAGCTTTGTTTACTTTTTCCCACCGAGGCTTCTAGACTTCTGATTGGCCAACATTTCTACACGGTTAGGAATATAGCGCCACCTGCTGCTTTGGCATGTTCATAGCAGCGTTTTCCTTCATTTCTGCCTTTACGTGTGGACGGGATTATTTTTTAAAACGAAAACGGAAAATCTCCATTTTCAAAAATACCCGTGTACGTGTGGACGTAGCCTCAGACTAAGAAGATGATGCAACACTTCAGATGTTTACCATGTTACAGCTGTCTTTAACAGCTGTGGCAGGGCCCCCTAAACACAACAAAAATGCTGCAAGACAAAAATATGGCCTGACACACGATCAATTACTTATCTCTGTAGTAACGAAATAACTTATACACACTGAATAAACACACATTTGTTGATGGGCCAACACTGCTGACAGTTAGTGTAACCCAACAGTGTGTATTAGCATCTTGCTTATTCCAGCAGAATGAAGCAATAATCAGCTTCTAGAAATAAGCGAACCACTTTCTCTCTTTCCCTTCATCACTAAACATGTGGTTACCACATTGGAAGGAAACACAGACCCTCATGGTGAAAGCATATGTGCGACGTGAGTGTGTGTGTGTGTGTGTGTGTGTGTGTGTGTGTGGTTGTGTTGTGATACTGGTATTAAACCGATGGAGCTTGTTGCACATGTTACTAGAGAACAACTAGCCACAAAGGATTCACCATAACAGACACACACACACACACACACAGAGACACACACACACACACACACACACACACACACACACACACACACACACACACACACACAAAAAAATCATTTCTAGAAAGATTTCTAGAATGCTTTTCCTTTATCTTAAAAGTACATCACAGTCACAGACACACAACCTTTGTATCACAATCAGAGCCTCATGGAGGCAGCTGTTTTATCTACATGGGTACAAATGTACCAGTTTGTGTGTATGTGTGTCTGGGTCACTTGTGACGTGGCATTGCCTGGAAGTTATGTAAGCATCAGCGGGGTAATGTTATCTGTCCTAGGAGCTGCAAAAGACACTCCCACGACAGCTTCCTCTCCTGCCTGGCCAATCCATGCGCACACAAAATACACACATGCATGAACACTAAAGAGCCAATTGTCATGTCAACGCTGAATGCTAATTTATGCATTAAAAAGAAAAATCACACAAAAGCAAGCAGCAGCTGCCCAAAGATGTTTTGTAGTCAGCTGATATGGGTACTAGAAGCTTCCACAGTGGAAAGGACTCTGAGAAAGATGGATCGAAACGTGGACCGTGATGGGAAGTGTAATAAAAAATATAAGACAATAAGAAGAGTAAGAGAGAGATTGCTTAAGGTGGAAACATGGGAGAAAGATTCAGAACTACACAGTGTACTACACATACACTGTGTACAAAGATACACACTAATACACAAGTTCCAGCCCTAAAATAAATCTCCGGTGAGTCAACTCCACCGGACATCTTTGCCATGGGGAGGGTTTCTCAGTGATGGAGGAGGAAGTCAGAACTTCCTGTGCTGCTCTGCCCCAAGTCCTCTGCCCTCATGACACTTACAGTGTGACAGAAAAACTAGCTTTGCATGTCAAACCCCTCCCCAAAAAGTCCTCTACAAACGAGTATAAAGAAGCACATATTCACACTTCCGATCCTGAGA